ATTATTTTATTAGTCCATTCTCACATTGTTATAAAGGAATATCTGAGACTGAGTAATTTATAAAGAAAAAAGGTTCTCTAGGCTGTACAAGAAGTATAGTGGCTTCTGTTTCTCAGGAGGCTTCAGGAAACTTACAATCATGGTGGAAGGTGAAGGGAAAGCAGTCATGTCTTACATGGCTGGAGCAGGAGGAATAGAGGGAGCGGGAAGGTGCTACACACTTTTAAACAACCAGATCTCATGAGACCTCTGTCAGGAGGACAGCACTAGAGGAATGGTACTATATAATTAGAAACAGCCCTGTGATCCAATCACCTCCCATTAGACCTCACCTCCAGCATTGGGGATTACATTTCAATGTGAGATTTGGGTAGGGACAGAGATCCAACCCATATTAGTGATATTGATGGTGATAAAGATGATCATATTGGGGATGATGATGATGGTGATAGTGATGATGATGATGATGATAATGGTGATGGTGACGTCTAAGCTAAAAGGGACAAGTTTATACCAAGAGGAAAAAGATATCGCTGAAAGGCTGGCCCTGTTTCCTCCACTTACCTCCAGCCTAACAACCCTCCATCATGAATAAAACCTGTCAAGTAGGGACAGTAATCCCTTCAAAGTGCTGGGAGCCCTGGTCCAGCCGCATGCTATACCACAGTGGGATTGAGTGCCTTGAGCTCTTCGGACAGCATCTGCTTCCTCTGTGGCCAGGGAAAGGAGAAAAGGAGGGACCCAATATTTGTGGTTCCCGGGCAAGGCCTCCTGCAAAGGCTTTACACATTTCATTTCCTTTTCTTCTGGTCTGCGACCTTGAAAGGACAGTCTGGTTATCTTCATTTTATGGATGATGAAGCTGGGCTCAGAGAAGTGATGGGACTGGCCAAGATCACACAGTCCCTAAGTGCAGGAGCCGTCACTCAAGCCTGGTCTTGCTGATGCTTTCTACAGCATTGTGCCAATGGGTGGAGACCATAAAATCAATTACCTTTCCCAAATGTCTGAACTGTCCTCCAAGTCCAAGTCCTACCAACACTCCAGCTTCAAACCTCAACAGAGAGCACCTCCGCCTGGAAGCCTGCCTGGCTTTTTCTGCTTGGCTCTGGCCCTACTGTCTTCACTTTTCTGCTACAGGTATAGACCTGCAGGGACTTGCCGAAGCCCATTCCTGGCCAGGCCAAGATTCAAAATGGGTCAAAAAGGGATCGTCTCAAAAATCTGGCCCTTCCTGGGAAACACCCCTTATGCCACTGCAGGAATGGCCGTGGGCCAAACCTCCCAGGGAATCGACGCTAATTTTCAGTTGTTTAGAAGGTAACTCCTCAGTGATTCACTGTTTGGTCTCTTGTAACCCAGGCCAGGAGAGCCAGGAGCTGCCAGGAGATCAAAAGGAAATGGTAAACAAAGGTCTCCCTTCTCAGGACACCATGACTCACAGCTGCTAGATGATCCTGGGCAGGTGGACTCACCTCTCTGACCCCTTCTCCCCGCAAGACTTCTTTGAAGCAGGGTGAGAAGAGCCCAGCGTGAAAGGAGTCCCAGGAGGAGTTATGAACAGGAAATGAATGGAAGGGGCAGGAGACAAGTATTTTCTGAGCTTTACTCTTTTTTTTTTTTTTTTTCTGAGTCTCACTCTGTCGCCCAGGCTGTAGCGCAGTGGCGTGATCTTGGCTCACTAAAACCCCTGCCTCCTGGGTTCAAGCAATTCTCCTGCCTCACCCTCCTGAGTAGCTGGGATTATAGGCATGCACCACCACGCCTGGCTAATTTTTGTATTTTCAGTAGAGACAGTGTTTCAATATGTTAGCCAGGCTGGTCTCAACCTCCCGACCTCAAGTGATCCACCTGCCTTGTCCTCCCAAAGTGCTGGGATTGCAGACATGAGCCACAGCACCCAGCCTCCTGGGTTTTGCTTTTGTGTTAAAAAACCTTTTATCTGCCAGATGTGGTGGCTCACACCTGTAATCCCAGCACTTTGGGAGGCCGAGGGGGGTGGATCACCTGAGGTCGGGAGTTCAAGACCAACCTGACCAACATGGAGAAACCCCGTCCCCACTAAAAATACAAAAAAAAAAAAAAAAAAAAAAAAAATTAGCCAGGCATGGTGGTGCATGCCTGTAATACCAGCTACTGGGGAGGCTGAGGCAGGAGAATTGCTTGAACCTGGGAGGCGGAGGTTGCAGTGAGCCAAGATCATGCCATTGCACTCTAGCCTAGGCAACAAGAGTGAAACTCCATCTCAAGAAAAAAAAAGAAAGAAACCTTTTGTCACAAATCACAGTTGTGGGATCCCTCCCAGTCAGCCCTCCTCTCCTTACTCCAAGGCGAAACCTCCCTGGGCCTCTATCCTCCGGCTGGCTGGGGTCTGGGAATTTGTGTCAGGATTCCCTTCAGCCTGTAGGGTGAGACCCAGACTCGGTGGGTTTAGTCTCCTCCCCTGGAAGGGAGGCTGGCCCTGGGCCCCAGACCAGCTCCTGATGCCTGGGGCCTGCCGACGACATCGGGGCTGTGGCACAACCGCTGTCACAGGCCCTAAGCACATTGGACTGCGTGGACCCTTCCTCCATATAAAAACATTAAAAATTAAATGTTATGACTGTCTTGGTTTGAAGACAAATTTAATCCAGGCTGGATGGTACTCATTTTTCTCCTACCTTGATAAGAAACTAAAGCATTCTCTTGGGGCTGCTAAAAGTAGCATGGGTGCTAGGCCCCGCCTCCACCTCGTGCTGGGTAAGTTAGCCCAGGTTAAGCCCTTTGGGTTGCCTGGGTTTAAAATCTAGCTCACCACGTGTGCATGTGCCTCGGTTTCCTCCTCTGTAAGATGGGGATGACTGCAGCGCACACAGGATGGGGCTATGGTCCTGCTCGAAAGAGGCCTGGTGCATAGCAAGCACTGGGCCGGCGGCTTGGTTGTGTCTGAGTTTTCCACCCACCTGTGCAAGAGGCAAGGGGGATGCCTTCTATTCCTGCAATACAGGCAGGAAAACCGAGGTTCCAAGCCGGGGAAAGGACCTGCCCAAGGCCACCTAATATGCCGTAGAACCAGGACTCCAAGGCCACACACCCAGTGACTCCCTGGCCCGGAACAGTGACAGAAGTGGACAGTCAGTGATCCCAGTCACAGACCAGAGCAGGAGGGCGGTTCTGCCTGGGTGGAAACTCAGAGAAACAGGATGGACTTGGCCCTGAGCACTTCCCGGCTGTGAGGACTGAACTTTCTCGCCTCTCTGGGCCTCGGTCAAGTGGGAATGAGAAAAAGACACCAAGAATGACCGGCACCCGCACAGCCGGCACCTCACAGCTTGGTCAATGGATGATTTTTTGGAAAGGGTGGGCAATGAAAAGGGTATGAGAAGAAAGAGCCATGAGAATACCTGCCACACTGCCTGGAAGCAGAGCCCACAGGCCCCAGCTGGCCCCTCCCCAGGGACTTGGCCAAACTGTCAGACCTGAAAGAATCATTGCATCACTGGCACTCAGGGGTTAATCACAGGGAGTGGACTAATTGGGAGGCGTCCTGTGATCAGAGGTGCCCCTGCTGCAGTCTTCTGCTGCCTCGTGTGCTCCTCAGCCCCTCATCTCCCTTCCCCGCAAGCCCGGGATGAAACCTCCCCACGTACTGATGTTCCTTTGCCTCCTGGGTAAGTGACCTTCATGACCTTCATCCTTCTCCTGCCCCATCTGGCAACCCCAAGCTCCTTGGATGCCCCTGAGCCTGGCCTTACCGAGGGCATGGTGGATGCCAAGCACTGGAGGCCGCCCCCTTCCTGCCACCAGGGTGACCCTGAGGCCAGTTTTGCCTGAGCCAGTGATGGCAGGAGCAGAAGGGAGGAGAATGCAGCCTGGGAGAGGTGAGGGGCATGGGCCAGGAGCTGGCACGTCCTGGACAGCACACCCTGGGCTCCCTCTCCTACCCTAGCTTCCATTTTTGGCTCCAACCTGCCAAGGTGGGCAGGATTCAGCCCCACAGCTAAGTCAGGAGCATAGGGAGGAACTCGGGGAGGTCAGCTGAGGCAGTCAGGAGACACGTCCAGTGGCATCTGACGAGACTTGGAGGGACAGAGTGTTCCTGGGTGAGACAGTGGCTGACACCTGGGGAGGACTCATGGCTGGTGGGGAGCCCCTGGAAGGGATGAACGAGTGACATCGTTGTACAGAGAGGAGGAGAGTGGAAGGGGACATTGGAGGGGCCGACACACTGGAGCTGAGGACTAGGGGATGGAGGTGCCCAGGATGTCACTGGCAATATTATTACTTATTACCACAGTTGTTGTTGAGAGTGGGGTGCTTTGGGGAGGTCAGCTTAACTGCACAACTGGAGAAATGCCTGCGATCGGATTTGAGGGGACATCAGGGGAAGTTGGCTGCAGAGAGTGGGGCCCTCCCTCTCCACAGTGGCCCTGGCCACCGGGAACCTGGTCCAGTTCGGGGTGATGATCGAGAAGATGACAGGGAAGTCTGCCCTGCAGTACAACGACTACGGCTGTTACTGCGGCATCGGAGGCTCCCACTGGCCGGTGGACCAGACCGACTGGTGAGGAAGTGGGCTGCAGGGGGCCTCCCTGGGGATGGAGGAGCTGGAGGAGCATCCTGAGAGAAGGGGGGACCTGGGAGGCACCTGGGAAACGCAGGCTGACCTCTCCTCTGGGCTGCTTTGGGCTTGGGGCCCCCAGAAACCCCTGATCCAGCCCAGCCTGGCTCATAGGTCCTCCCAGGTCGACCATGACCCTTACAGGTGCTGCCATGCCCACGACTGCTGCTACGGGCGTCTGGAGAAGCTGGGCTGTGAGCCCAAACTGGAAAAGTATCTTTTCTCTGCCAGCACACGTGGCATTTTCTGCGGTAAGTGGACTGCCCTGAAGTGACCCAGACACCCTGTGGTGAGGTGGGCAGAGGCAGCTGAAGGCAGGAAGCCGCTCTGGGCCTTATCAGACCCAGACCCCAGACTGGAGGCATGGGGTTTCCGGTCACCATATAATAGTGGAGACCCACATGTTCACCGGGTACCCGGGCCAGAGAAGCCGGTGGCCCACCAGTGCAGTGCTCGGGTCCAGGCATCTCCCTACCCACAGGCACCTCCCAGCTCTGGCCTCTCGAAAGAAGAGCAGAGGGGGCTGAGTCTAGCCAGGGCCCAGCAGGGCCTCAGCAGGAGCTAAAGGTGAAGTCCCTAGGACAGAGCAAGCTGGGGCTTTGACTGGGGACAGCAGACGTGGTTTCCAAAGGCTGACTCCTCACTGGGACTGTCAGGCTGGTCTTATCTGCACAACTTTGCCATGTCCAATGCCCACTTGGACCAGTTAGTTTTCCTTTGGTCCCGGGCCCAGGAAAGGAGCCCAAACCAAGTGAAAGTGTGGAGGGACCCCTGATGAGAGAACCAAGCTTTCTCCCTGCCACAAGGCCGGGAGCGGCCTGGGAGAAGGGCAGGGCCTGGTGGGCAGGTGGTGCAGCATGGAAGGGTTTGGAGGTCACAGGAGAAGACTCGGGTCTCTCAAGTGTGTCCTGGGGGCGGGGCAGAGCTGACCAGGACCACAGCGGCAGAGCTGGCTCCGTTTCTTCTGCAGCCGTCCCCTCGGCAGGGCAATGTGCTAGGTGGTGAGCTCCCTGTTGCTGGGAGTCCATGCGAGGCAGGAGCAGCCACCTGCCGGGTAGGGCTGAGAGGCTGAGTTAGAGGAGGAAGCAGATGGGTGGCGACGGGCTCCGGATCCTACCCTGGGCTTCACCTTTCACCAGCCTGTGACTTTGGACAAGTGATGTAATCCCTGGAAAGCCTGTTTCCTCATCTATAAAATGGAAAGGATCTTACCCACTTCCGCAGCTCAGTCCAGCTCTTAGAAAGAGCCCCCCAAAAGAGGCTGACCCGCTCAAGGTTGACCCGCTTAAGGTTGACCCACTCGGCGATAAGTCCCTTCCAGCCCTGAGTGTTGCTGACACAGCAGGCGTGGCAGAGCCCTGGTGGGAGGCGGAGACCATCCTTCAAGCGGGGAAACGAGGCACCTGGCCTGAGCTGTGAGACACAGTCACGGGGACAAAGAGGAGCCAGAGCCGCAGTGGGCAGAGGTGACAGAGGCGGCTGCAGCAGAAAGAGGAGGAACCTCTGGGCCCCGACAGAGCTGATGCCAGCTGGCTCTTGGGAGGGCAGGTCAGGGTAGAAGTCTGATTCCCAGGCTGGGCAGGGCAGACAACTGGGGTCTCTCTACTCCGATGAGCACAGGAGAGGGCCCTGAGCAGACCCCAGCTTTGGTTCCAATGGCCTCCGACCTGGGCCCACGTCGCTCTGGGGCACACATAGCCATCAGATTGAGTTGCTGTCATTTCATAGCTGTCCTCTCTGCTTGATGGCCACAGTCTGCCATCAGCAACGCATCACACAGGGGTGCAGGGGTTGCCTAGAAATCCTCCTGGCTGGGGGCAATGACAGTTAGTGAACCAAGCAGTGTCCCTAAGGCAGGGGAGAGCTAAGAGCAGTCGGCGTGGGCTCGGGAGAGCAAGGAGGGACAGCGACGGCAAGCTCCCAGCCTCCCCTGTCCTGAGCTACAGTACGCCCCGCCCTTGTCTCTTGTCACCATCCCTGAAACAACCCGGGACCTTGGGCTTCCATCAGAACGGAGTGGTCCAGGTCATGAACGTGGACCTAGGAGCAGCCAAGAGCTGTCCCATTCATGTCCTGAGCCTCTTTGGTTCCTGACTCACTTTGTCCCATCCAGCCGGCAGGACCGCCTGCCAGCGGCTGACCTGCGAGTGTGACAAGAGGGCTGCCCTCTGCTTTCGCGACAACCTGGGCACCTACAACCGCAAATATGCCCATTACCCCAACAAGCTGTGCACCGGACCCACCCCACCCTGCTAAGGCTGTGCTCAGCCTCCTCCCTGCCCCTCAAGGTCCCACCAAAAGCTGCTGTAGTCCCAGGCCTGGGGAACATTGACATCAAAGGTCCTCCCTCTGGAAAATTCCTTTCCTGCAAACCCATCCCTGCCTGAGAGTTCAGAGAGGTGGCCTGGACCATCACTAGCCTCCCAGGCTACCCCTCCTCTGTAGGAAGAACCCTGCCCCAGGAGCCATGGGCCCTTCAGCACCCAGGAGACTGTCACCCACTCCTGGGATCTCAGCTCCCTCTTCTGAATAAGTGAAGAATGTTTTCCCATAATTCTAATATTCTTCGATTCTTAGATTCTATCCATCGTTCTAGGATTTAATTCCCTACAGTTTCATCCATTCATTATTTCTCTCATCACCTACCTTGTGCCAACAATGTGCTAAGCCCTGGAATCAGTGGGAACAAGTCTGACACGGGTGGCCCCGCCTGCGATTCCGGCATCAAATTCTCTTCATTTTCCATGACACTAAGTTTCTGTGACTCTCTTTTTCTAACATCCTACAATCTTATTCAAGATAATGCAGTCTCTGGAAGGAATATTGCTGGCCATATGGTTTAATGTGAAAAGCATGAAAAATACCAACCTAAAAATATTGTCCCCACTGTGTCATCAGGCCTCAAATCCCCCCCACTGGCAAAGATTAAGAGTGAGAAGCAGCTTTAGATCGTCTTATCCACACCCCTTCTTTGATAGACAGGCCCCTGGGGGCCAGAGAGGGGACGTTCTACCCGAGGGGGTGTCCTCACTGCCTCCCTGGCCCTTCGTTTCTTCACGACGTTGTCCTCAGCCACCCACGCTCACGTATGGCCGTGTTAGCCAGGCCTGCTGGTTGTCATCTTGGAAAGACCAGCGTGTCCAGGGCAGTTCAGCTGTGAGGACACAGGAAGAGGAGGAGGAGAGTTCAACATGGAGGGGCTGACTCCAAACTCCTGATTCTGAAGCCGTGAAGAATGTAGTGCACCCAAGGATTCCCACCAGGAGGAATGGAGCCTATTCCGGAAGCAATTTATTTCAGCAGATGTTACTTCCAAAGATGGAATTATCTATTATACGCTGATGAACTCTTAAGGGACTGGGATTCGCCTGCTCAATGGCACAAAGCACCTGCCAATGCACTGCACAGGGCAAAGCTCACACTCAACAAATGTCCACTCCCTTCACCCTTCCCAGGGCCTGCGCACAGCGTTCAGGACTTCCAGGGCAGGGAGGAGAGCAAAGAAAATCAAAGGGATGTATCGTCTTGACCTTTAAAAGGTGAAGAAGCTCTGTGCTAGCAAAAGAAAGGAGGAGACGAAAGGGAAGACAGGCATGTGCACTTTGCCGTTGTAAATGACTCAAATCCTCCGCCAAGTATCACCAGAACACCATGTCTTTTTTTTTTTTTTTTTTTTTTTTTCAGACAGAGTTTCTTTTTTTTTTTTTTTTTTTTTTTTTTTTTTGAGTCAGAGTTTCGCTCTTGTTACCCAGGCTGGAGTGCAATGGCGCGATCTCGGCTCACCGCAACCTCCGCCTCCTGGGTTCAGGCAATTCTCCTGCCTCAGCCTCCTGAGTAGCTGGGATTACTGAGTAGCTGGGATTACAGGCATGCTCCACCATGCCCAGCTAATTTTTTGTAGTTTTAGTAGAGACGGGGTTTCACCATGTTGACCAGGATGGTCTCGATCTCTTGACCTCGTGATCCACCCGCCTCGGCCTCCCAAAGTGCTGGGATTGCAGGCGTGAGCCACCGCACCCGGCCAAGACCATGTCTTAAAGCAAAACCAACCGGTGTGGGGGAGGAGAGCAAACCTCGTCTGCAGGGAAAGTGGTCCTGAGGCGCCCTCTGGTGTCGATTTCATTCAGGCCACTAGAGAGAAATTTGCGCTTAGCTTAAACCTCCATTTCCCTACATCAGGTGGGCAAAGCGTCCTTCTGGGCTAGTGAAATTGGTTCCCTCACATTTTCATTAAATAAATATGCTGAGAAAATGCCAAAGAAGGCCATACAACCACCTGAAGGTAATGACCACTGCAGAAACAGGAAACACAGGGAGAAGGAGCTGATGCGGGCAAGTTGGAGAGAGGTGACATCCGGGGCATGATGGATTTAAGGCACCAATGGGACTGATGATCTTACAGTTGTGTAACTTTCCAACGAAACAAACATTGAAACCTAGGAGCAAGACTCCAGCGCAGGCTGCTGGGACCCCTGCCCGCCCCCACCCACTCAAACACACCCAAACCAGGCTGTGAGCTTTGGCCACAGCCCAGCTTTTACCCTGTGCTTTCCCAGGGCTCAATAAATGTTTGATGACTGCATCAAGGGACCTGTCTAAATCCCATTTGCCTATATCTGCGCATCTAGAGAACAATCACTTGACTCCCAGCAGCAAACTTGCAAAAGGACTGAAAAAAGGAAAGGACAACCCTGAACTTGAAGTCAGAGGTTCCAGGAAAGAGCTTTGTCCTGCCACTTGGCAGCAGTGGCTCTGCTTAGACCTTTGCTACTCAGTGTGGTCTATGGGCAGTGGCGGCAGCAGCAGCAGCAGGGATCCTGTTCAAAATGCAGAATCTTGGCCCTGACCCCAGACCTCCCAAATCAGAGTCTGTAAGTAAACAAGCCCCGCCGATAATTCGTGTGCATATTGAAATCTAAGCGCTGATAAATGGTAGCAGCCTCAGTCTCTGCATTTGTCAGATGAAACATTTCACCAGCAGGTTGGTTGTGGCAAGGTTTGGGTTAGCATGTATGATAGTGCACACATAATGGCTAGCACTTAATCACTGGTGTTCTATGAATGAATGAATGGTCGTAACAATAGCTAACATTTGCTGTTCACTCAGCATTTGCCAGGCACGGTTATTAAGTACTTTATGTGTGCTAATTCACCGGATGAGTGAACTAGGCAACGGGACTGTGTCAAAGCTGGGAGGGGACATTGTCACCTAAATGTTTCATAGTTTTCCTCTCCAATTTTGATGACAGGATTTGGATTGGTTTTGCTTTTGTTCCTATTTAGCACCTAACAAAAGCTATACATGAAATGCAAAAGTAAATAACTTGCTAAATAAGCGATCAGAAATCACAGTGAAATTCTCAAGTTCAATGAAGAGTCTGATTAGGATTTCATGGACATTCGTCTGCTTCACTGGGGTTCTTTGCAATGTCACCACCAGAGAACTGAATACTAAAATTCATTCTTTCTTCAATGTGTTTAATACAAATTGTGCTTCTGGTTTGTTGCTGGATGCTGGAGATGGACATGAATCAGACAGTCAACCAGCAGGCAGACAACAGCAATTATTCTACACTAGCAAGTCATGTGACACCCCTAAGAAGACAGTATCAGGACTAATGGTTCTTAAATCCTCCATCCTTCATTGCATATCCATCCTGTCCACCAATGCCAGCTTCATTTTCCCAGAGCTTGAATGTTATTGTGTCACTCCTCTGCTCCAGAACCATCAGTGGCTGCCCACTGTCCACCAGCCCTTGGTATTCAAGGCTTAGTATCATCTGCTTTTCCAGCCTCTTTTATGCAGCCATATCTATTTAGTAAGCTCCTCTGCTTTCCTGCCTTTATAGCCTGGTGCAATAGCTTCCCTCAACCTAAAAGTCTCCCTTGCTAACAGGCTCATCACGTGAAGTGACTCTCAAATGTCACCTTCTCTTTTAGAGACAAGGTCTCACTCTTGCCCAGGTTGGAGTGCAGTGGCACCATCATAACTCATTGCAGCCTTAACCTCTTGGGCTCAAGCGAGCCTCCCACCTTAGCTTCCCAAGTAGCTGGGACAGCAGGTGTGTGCCATCGATTCTGGCTTCTTTTTTTTCTTGTTTTAGAGACAGGGTCTCGCTGTGTTGCCCAGGCTGATCTCAAACTCCCGGCCTCAAGCAATCCTGCCTCAGCCTCCCAAACTTGGGATTACAGGCATAAGCCACCCTGCCCACCCCCAAATGTCACCTTTTCCGTGATGCAGTTTCAATTGCAGCAGATTTCACTCTCCGTGAAATGCCAAGCTGTGTTTATACTTCTCCTAGCACTGCTTATCCTGTTATTTGGGTCCTTGCGTGGTGGCGACGGACTGCTCTGGGTTCAAATCTGTGATCTTGGGCCAGTTATTTATTCCTGCATGTGTAAGATGGGAAGAACCATCAGCCTCACAGGGTAGTTTTCAAGTTCAAATGAGACAAAGTATCCAAAGTGCCCAGGGCATGCTAGCTGCTCCATCTATGCTTGGCCACCTTCTGTATTTTTGCTCTCCAATTGCAACTGTCACACAGTAGACACTAAACAGGTACCTGTTGGACTGAATCCTGCGCTGATGTTCCCCAGAGGCAGAGGTAGATGGTGTAGCATTTTTCCAGGCAGGCTGCTACCTCTAATATTCCCAGGTCAGAATGGACACACAGGCCAGCTCCTGACACTGAAAAGCAGTCAGGAAGGTCTTTGTTGTTTGGGGGTTTTGAGACAGGGGTCTCATTCTGTCGCCCAAGCTGAAGTGTGGTGGTATGATACAGCTCACTACAGCCTCAAATTCCTGAGCTCAAGCGATCCTCCTGCCTCAGCCTCCTGAGTAGGTGGGACTACAGACAGGCACCCGCCACTACACCCCAGTAATTTTGTGTGTGTGCATAGAAACAGGACCTCGCTAGATTGACCAGACTGCTCTTGAACTCCTGGGTGTAAGTAAGCCTCCTGCCCCAGCCTCCCGAAGTTCAGGGATTAGATGTGAGCCACCGCACCCATGCCTGATCTTGAGAATTCATTCAGCAAGCACAGCATTACCCTTCCAGTAGCAAAAGGCACATGAGAGGTGTCTGAAGAAGTTTCCAATCTTTCTCCAAACTAATTGTGCATCAATAAGCAGCTCAGTGATAACACCTGGCACATCCCACTCCTGGGTTTTGCTTGCACTGGCCGTTCAGTCCAAAATGCTTTCGCTCCCTATTTCTGCATCCCGTCTCCCCTTTCATGCCTCATCCAAATATCACTTCCTCCACCAAGCCTTCCGTGATTTCTCTGAGCTCAGAGCCCTCTCATCAGTACCTCCTTCACGGCATGTGCTCTCTCCTGGGCCAGTGACATGTTCACTTTCATTCCTGGACAGAAGGCTTTTGGAAGGCAGGAAACATGACTGTTTCAATGCCCAGAAATAAGGACCCACACGGCGTAGAGGTTCACTAGATGTCAGATGGATTCTTGGCTGTTTGGATGGATGAATAAAATGAATAGAAACAATCCTCTTGGGATACCCAAGTCCTTCTACCACAGTGAGGTTCAGACAAGTTTTCTCCAAGAAGGCAGGAAATGTTTCCTTCTGCCAGCCAGATTCTGTGAAGTGACAGACTGGCCTCAAGCCTTTGCAACCAAGTTTTAAATCTCTGCATCTAAATGGTCTGAGAGTGCCCATTCTGTCAGCAAAAACCTTTCTGTCCAGCCAAAACCACATTGGAGCAGGGCTTTTTATGAAGTAAATCTCAAGACATACACACTCTGTTTCTGTGCATTGGAGGAAGGGAAAGGCCAGGAGCTTGTGGTGGGGTCCGGCTGAGGCAACTCTGACCACCCAGGTTTTCAGCCAGGCTTTCTCCAAGGTGACCATGAGCAGTTATCAAGAAGGGACAAAGGCACAGCCACTTGTCCCTCCCTGACTCAAGAACACAACTCTGTCCTTAAAGACTCATCCTATCTCCCACACAGGGTCTTACGAGTCACCTGGTCCAACGCTGCTCAGGCGGGAAGCCCCTCGAACCCCTAACAGTGGCCACCCTGCCCCAGCTGAATCCCTGGAATGGAATTAAGGCCATGGAAGTGTTTCAGTGTGGGGGCAGCACCTAGATTGGGACATCACTTTGGACCATAGCAGGTTTTCTGAAAGAATCTCAGGTTAATGGGACCTGTTCAATTGCATCCAGGTACCTTCATATCTTCAGACTGAATCTGGGTCTCATGGGCTCAGGAACCAGACAGTGTCTGTCTACCCAGAGATGATCCGTCTCTTCAGTTGTGGACTGAAGAAGAATCACACAGGGAAGATCATTTGAGAGACTGTGAGAGAATCTGCTTGCAGGAGCTGGAATATTCCTGTTTCATCCAGGAAAGCTTCCAGTCCTTTTTGGGATCAAAGCACCAGGGAGCCAATGCAGAAGGCTGCTTGTTGAGTACAAAATCGGAGAATGGGGAGTCTCACAGTCAAAATCATGATATGGTGAGGTCTGCTGAGCCAGCCCCGGGACACCTCGACTGGCCAGAGCCCTTGTGTGGATGGGGCCCCTGCTGGACATACTGGGGGTCTACCCTTGCTCTGGTTTCCTGTGGACCCTTCTAGGTGAGTCATGCCCCAGACGGTGCTATCTGTGCCTTGGCAGGGAGCCACCTCCTGGAATGGGGTCAAACAATCCTGAGAGTTCTAGAGGGGCCCAAGGTGGCTACTGACAAACAACTGCTCCACATTTAAACAGTTTCAAACTATCAAGAGATGCTCTCGGCCGGGCGCGGTGGCTCAAGCCTGTAATCCCAGCATTTTGGGAGGCCAAGGCGGGTGGATCACGAGGTCAAGAGATCGAGACCATCCTGGTCAACATGGTGAAACCCCGTCTCTACTAAAAATACAAAAAATTAGCTGGGCATGGTGGCACGTGCTTGTAATCCCAGCTACTCAGGAGGCTGAGGCAGGAGAATTGCCTGAACCTGGGAGGCGGAGGTTGCGGTGAGCCGACATCGCGCCATTGCACTCCAGCCTGGGTAACAAGAGCGAAACTCCGTCTCAAAAAAAAAAAAAAAAAAAGAGATGCTCTCAGATATTAGGCAGAAATCTTGTGTGTGGTTCTTACGAATGGCCCCGCCATTGTGTGTGGTAGGTGCACTTTCCTGCACTAAAGCAAAAATCAGCTGTTCCAAGCTTAGCCAGATCCCAAAGGAGTGTACACCTAGAATACTCAATCACAAACACGAGTGCACGTGCATGCAAACCTCCCACACAAAGGTCTCTACAAAGGACACTTCCCAGCATTCCACTCAGTCTCTCTGCATTCACTCAAACGGTGGTCAGATGCTGATAAAAACAACTTAAAACTTTGTTTTTAAACTAGAATTTATTGGTATACAAAACTCCATTTCATAGATAAAGTGGCACATCTTTGCAGCTTCTATTGCACCGAGTATCGAAGATTAAAAACACAAAAAAAGAAACATTTGGTTTTGAAAACACTGCAAATAGCCAAGTACAGTACTTTGGTAAATAAAAAATAAAATGGTTTGGATGAACACAATCTGTGGAAAGAAACGATCTAGGGGGAAGGAACTATGGACGTCAGACAACGGTCACAATTCTCACCATCAAGCTCCATAGATAAGGCAAGACTTGCTAAGTCTATGGATCATGACCCCACGGAGGTCTTAATATCTCCAAACTGAAGCTAGAACAAGTATAGTGCAATTAGAAAATGAGAAGGCCCCTTCTCCACAGACACAGCCGCCCCTCTGTAAAGGGGACTGACACACGCCAACACTTCTACATGGGAAAGGGGAGCCCCCGGGTGTGACATCTGACTCCTGGCTCTTCTCTCCTCTGAGCTTAGTGCTGGTGGAGGCTGCCAGAAGAGTCACTGGGGAGGCCAAGGGCCCTTCCTGCTATGAAAAGTGAACCGTAAGAGTGGGAAAATGTGGGGAATCTCTTACCAGCACTGCTCGAGGGGCCTGCCAGAGATCAAACCGCCAGCTGAGGTCTGTGGCTGGGCTCACATGATTGTCATGGAGGGTAGGCAGCCTGCTGCAGGCTGACACACCGAGGATGAGAGCCAGGCCACAGAGGGTCTGTCGGGCAATCACCCGCCAGCCACAAGGACTGGCAGTGAGCAGAGGTTGCTCTGGATCATGGCTATGCCCTGCTTAGAATAAATTCCCTATGCAAAAGTTCGTAGTTTTACAGAAATACTCTTCACACTGGTACCAACCCCTTCTCAAGTAATTCTGCAGGGATGCTAAACATTTTCATGGAGCCAAAAAACAGTCCTAACAAGGACAGTAAGAGACGGGCTCTACAAAGCAGCTGCTTCGAAGACATAGGTCAGAGCCTGAGGTTTTAAAGGAATTTCACCTTGGGACAGAAGAGGGTCGGGCCAGCCACAAGGCACAGCTTTCCGGAGGCCCCGTATTAGCAGTGCATGGGAAGCTCCGCACTCCACGTGCACTTGCTGACTGGTGCTCCACGTTCTCTCCACATTCCAAAAATGACTGTCCCCTTTCTAATATGTGATGGCAGATTTTATAATTTAAATATGCCATCTACAGCTTCAATTCAATGATGTCATTTAAAAAAATACAATTTATTTTAGAGCCAGGAAAACACACCTTATAAAAAGTGCCATTATTACATCACCTCAGAACAACTGTCAAAGGCCCCAGAGTTTTAGCAACACTTGTTCTGAAAGCTGTGATGAATGAAACTGAATAATGAGAATGGCAAAACAGACAAACTGCATCAGACTCTGAGTCTACAGATTTAACATGGCTAGACAGAGCCTTGAGGTAAGAAGGTGAAGAGCTATGCATCTACTCAAAACGGGAGTCGGAGAGGGCCACCCACGCGACACACTAAAATCAGGAAGCTCCGATCTCTTCCCCCTGCAAAGATCCTTTCAGTCACAGTAATTCTTAGTCACTTCTGACTAGGAATCCAGGTTTCCTTTAACTGACTGAATATTTCAGAGGTAAACTGATAGCATTCTATGCTGACCCAGTAAAACCCAGGCAGTCTACAGAGTTTCTCAGAATTAGAGAAATTGCACATTGACTACAGGGACTCAACTACAAGTACAGTTCAGTGCCAAAGTCCAGCTGATATTACCTATGTAATAGTGAGCAACTCTCTCCCCGACTGATGGTGGCCCTCCTCCCATCCCACCCCACCCCCACCTCCACCCCACCCCGACAATCACATCATTTCATCATTTCACACCGAAGGAGCTCCCTGGGGGAAGCAGGGCAGGCACAATAAATCACCCACAGAACCTGCTCCCTCCATGCCAGCTCCAGCTGCTCCACAAGGGAGATCCCACTTCCCAAGCCCTCAGAATCAAATTGGCATTGGAAGTGTTTTCAGAGCTTAATAAAGAACTATAGACAACTTCAATTAACATTTAAAATTCTTTCTGCCACAATTTCTCAACCATACATTGCTCCTGAAAGTGTATATTCACTATTATTGAAAAACGAAATATGCATACACATTCTACCTTTCTAGTATCTCCTAGTGGCAACTACAGTATCTAGAAGTTATGGTTCTATGTTGTTTTAATACACCTACCTCTCTAGTTCAAAGCTGTTGCCACTAAAATTGAATTTATGTTGACCTCTAAAAAAAAAAAAAATCTTTTAAAAATCCCTAAAACCTTTATATATAGTTTCTAAGAGCAGTAAGCAGCTTTGCACCACTGCTCCATCCGCTTTCTCCTGACCACACTGTAAGGCAATCCCATGTAACATGTAACATAAATCTCTACCAGCCAAGCTGTGACACAGGTTAAGACACATTCAGTTCCTAATAAAGAGTTCACAGGAATACCTGTACTAGAGTAACAGCTCTGACGACAGTCATCCAGGACTAACATGCCGGGCCTCCACTCAGGAGGCCGGTGAAGTAACTTTCAAGTGCACACTGAGGCAACTAAGCATACCGATCCCAACTATCTCATGTGCTCCAGTGAGACTGAGGCAGTGAAATCTAAACTCAAACCATTACCTAAGGGTATCACTGAAGTTGGATGCATGTATCCCATTCCTAATCATTAACACACTAAACACAGACCAACTGTAAGTGAAAAGCTGTGAAATAGTAATAAAAGAAAATGACTAAAGCCATTTGATTAGTTTTTTAAACCACCGTTAATATACTCCAGAAATGCTGAAGCCTATTATCAGAATTAGGTAATTTATAAATAAATGTTCCCAATATTCTTTAATAACTTTTTAGCAGCTTCTAAAACTTCTAAAACCCAACAGGGCCCAAGGCCACCTTCATTAACCAAGTTAAATAAGGCAATTCTATGACTTCTGACAATGAGTCTCTCTTAAGTGACTGCTAATCTGAATTTCTGGCATACAATCTTATCTTTATGAGAGGATCTGGCCTTCTGCTCTCAAGCAGTACAAAACAGACAGGGAAGTGTATTCATTCAGAAACACCAAGCCAGTCAGGAATCTGCCCAGAGTTGAAAACCAAGACAGCCATAGGTACTAAAGCACTGGCTCCCACCCCGTAGAGTAAGGCAACAGACACCTTTCGTTTGGGATGAGTAGAGTAACACGGCCTCAAGCTCAGGACTCTGTGATGTGCACAGAAAAAAACGCTGTACGTTTTTTTTAATCTGCTAAATTTTACAATGTACTATACCCAGGGAGAAGCCCAAACCACAATGTCCTAGGAGCAATTCCAAGAGACTACTGATGCTTCAACTACAAAAACCCACTAAAGTCAAAAAACAAAAAAAAGACATCAGTAAAACTGAAGAAAGCAAGTGGCCTGCTGATAAAGACAATCTCTGACAACTCCAGGGCCTGCCAACATTTTTCTAATTCTGAAACGTGAGGGGTGGAGAAGATAAAATCAACTCAGCATCAATTATTTGCCCAAGTATTAGGTTCCAAAAGACAAAGATTGTCCAAGATGAGCCACCTCATACATTACGGTTTTTAAGTTCACATCCACATAACTCAGTTTTAGGAATGACATCTCTCCACTGCCCAAGTCTGTCTATTTCAGAACTGAAGAGTCATTCGAAGGCCTCAACCAAAGTATGTTCTCTTCCCTGATGGTCCAACAACTTCCGGCAGATGTTGGAGTTTTCCCAACTTTGAAATGCCAAACAGGGCTTAAATAAAAAGAAATAAACGTGGCATTTTATAAGACTTAATTTCCACAATACTAAGTTTAGCGACCTGTGAGGTCAAGTTACCATGTATCTCTCTGAAGGCATCTAAGTCTAGAAGAGAAGGGAAAAAAATTGTTATTTAAAATGTGAACATGAAAAACCTTATTCTTCTAGGTTTCTCCTATAAAAACATTTAATTCTTTAGACTCCTCTTAGGCAAAACCCCAGGAGTTTTTCCTGTTACAACTACAGACCCTGCTCTACCAACTCTCAGAATTCCAGAACTGTAACACAAGCAGTAACATGCCATCATCTCACTGTCAGGAAACAAATACCAAAACCCAACACCACGGTCAACTTCCCAACAGGACCTAGGCCTAATTAACAGTCAGCTGCATTTATCATATGGCTTGAGTGCAAATGAACTAACAGCACCTGCATCCCATCTGAAAGAATCAGGAAAGACAGAAATGCAGTTGTTTAATTTCCATCCTGACTGCAGGCCACAACCCTCATATAACTCTAGGAAAACAATTCCCGAATTATTTTCTGAGTAACTTGGATTAGAAGAAAGTAAAATCTAAACATATTCCTGAGTTGGAGATCATTTATAAGCTACCCTATATGTTAGTATCTGTTTGAAAATGAAAGAGAAACTAAGGAAACTTGTCATTCTGAATTTCTAACAATTATTCTAAACTACATCATGAACGATTACAGCAAAACTCACCCCAAATGTTAAGAAAAGATCCTAGGGTCACTGAAGTCTTTTCAGGACAATAAAGCCACCATTTAAAAGGTTTTTCCTGACCTATCTGCCCCTAAAACTTAGTATTTTAATTTTGTATTACAGAATATGAATGGCTTCACTGAATTTTCATAAAACAAAACATACCACTAATAAAACTTTGAACAAAAAAGAGGCAGCTCGAAGGAAACTAACTCAGGGTTGTGAGCTCATGTGTGAGCTTTGTTGGTTGTGTTTCATTTTATAAAAGGACGGCCGCAGTGGAAAGTCTGGCACACAGCACTCCTTTTCCAGCTGCTTCTTAAAACTCCCAGGATGCCAGAGAGTCAGATGTTGAGAGCAGCAAAGGTCTTCACCAAGGTGACCTGCGTGTTCGCCTCTGCTTCACTTCTGTTGTCCCTGTGGCTGCCTCTGCTCTCCAGGGCTTTGTGGCGGTGCCTCTCCTCCTGACGCTTCTTCTTCTCCAGCCACTGCTGTTCTCGCCTCTGTTTGTTTGTGACCTGAGAGAGAAGGCCACAGTGATGAGAAGGCAGCACGGTGGACTCGAGCTGCCAACTGCTAGAATGGAGATGGTGGCAAAGGGCACAGATTGCTTTTCAGCAGGAACAGGGAAAACCAATCTAAGAAGCCAAAATGATTTATTGTCCACTGCTGCTCAAATGTACATTGAAATTTGTATTTCCTTGCTGAACTAGCAAACAAAATCAATTCCATTCTTCTCATAAACCAACTCAAGAAGACCTAAAGAAGCCAGCCCTCATCCAGCGGGAGGTAACACACACATGTCAGAGGACACCTTTCCCCAAATAATTTAATGTCCCAGGTAATTCTGACAAAATCCTCAGCAGCTGATTGCATCTTTGCCTCTGCTGTGGCTTTTTAACGCTGTGTGGCATTTTGAGCTCAGAACTTCCTGATGAAAATCTTTAAAATGATTCCAAATTCAGTAAAATGGAAGATGTCACATACTACCTGTGGGAGTGAAGGGCGGGGAGGGGGATGTACCTTTCTGGGAAGCACTTGACAATTTAACAAAAGCCTTTAAAGATTCACATATCCATAACCTTTAACCTGTTCATTCCTCTTCTGGGATTTTATCCAAGAAAATAATGCAAAAGCCAAAGATTTACACACAAAGGTATTCTCTGCAGATCATGGCATTTATAAAAAACATGGATAAACAAAGGAATAGCCCGCATGTACAGTAATGTTAGGTGGGAAAAGGAGGCTTTTCATATGTACACTGAGGACAATTTTAGGGTATATTTCCTTCCAATTGTCACTGCATACACCAAACAGGACAACTGAGGTCATTCTGCTTCTTGATCAATCTTTATGCATTCCCCAGATTTTCCACACTAACTACTTTTATAAATCATAAGGAAAATACAAATAAAATGAATCTCAAGTTCCCACCACTGTCACAGAATTACACTGGCCCACCCCCTGCCCTTTCGACCCCATCTCACATACCTTTGGGACTTGTTTTTTATTTGCTTTGTTTTCTTCACTAGGGCTGGCCCGTGCCTTGTTATTTTCGGTCCTGCCTTCATTTAAGCCCTGATTTCCAAAGATCCTGGCACCACTGCCACCCTCCTCCCATAAAGGGCCACACTGCTTCGGCACTCGACCACTGGGCTCAAGATTCTCTTCTGCACCTTCCAAAGAAAGATACTGCATTAAAATTGAAAAACAAAGAGAGTTCCACAGGGTGATTACTGTATTAATGATTTCAAAATTACCTGGGTCCCCAGTTCAGTCAAATGGCAATTAAGTTTCCTTGAGATAAATTCTAATGTCAAGACAGTGGGAAACATAGGAAGAAAAAACTGGTAAAACTTGGAAGATAAATTTTAAAATAACCCACTGACCAGCCTTTTGATCAGCTTCCTACCAGCAGAGTGCTTTATTAAATTATGTTTTAACATGAATTTTTATGGGAAAATCTTCCATTTGCACCCCAAACCCAGAAAAGAAACAGGCTCTGTCTGAAGCTATGCTGTCCAATGTATTAGCCACCAGCTATATGTGGTCATTTACATTTAAATCAAAATTAAACAACATTTAAAATGTAGCTCCCCAGTCTCACTGCACACGTGATAGGTACATACTATACTGAACAGCACAGATCACTGGTGGGTACTGTTTAAAGTCATAAAGACCAAGTTACTTACAGATTTCTAAGAAAGTACAGCCAGTGCATAGTAGATAATAAAGCACCCAATCACATGGAGAACTATGATGCCAGAAAGAGTATCTGGCATATAATATCTGGCAATCAGTATTTATTGATGTCATTTTAAATAAATGACTTGAGAAATTAACAAGATGTTACATCTCTTTTTTTTTTTGAGACAGAGTCTCACTCTGTTGCTCAGGCTGGAGTGCAGTGGCGTGATCTTGGCTCACTGCAACCTCCGTTTCTCAGTTCAAGCAATTCTCCCGCCTCAGCCTCCTGAGTAGCTGAGAATACAGGCGTGTGCCACCACGCCCGGCTAATTTTTGTATTCTTAGCAGAGACAGATTTCACCATGTTGGTCAGGCTGGTTTGTGATCCTCGCACCTCAGCCTCTCAAAGTGCTGGGATTACAGGCATAGGCCCCCAACCCAGCCCGGCCATTACATTTCTTTTCTTTTGTCTGAGTCACAAATTAAACTTGGTTCAAGTTAAAAAACAAAATCAAAATTATCACGAGTTAATAGAAATCTAAATATTTCTATCAGAAAAACAAGGCATTTCTCTCTCCATTTTATTGTGGTTATCATTTTAGTCATCTAAGGGGATCTTATGTCTAAACAGGACAATTCTTCCCTGATGCGTCCCCCAGCACCCTGTATTCCCACCCCATTATGTACTATCACACCATTTTACCATCCACCCTCCACCCCTAAACCATACTCTCCCTGAAGCAGGGCCAGGACCTAATAAAAAATGTCTACACACACAAGGTGCTCAATAAATAACTCCTAAATGAATGACAGAACAATTACCACCTGTGACTTGTGTGACCTGATTAAAAATAAATATTTGGAAAATTACCAACACAACCATTTTGAAGGCTTATAAATATTAGTCATGGACTTACTATTTCTCTTCCCCTGGTTCATCTGAAGCATGGCAATTATTGCAGATTCAATATTATAATTTTCAGCTTCCAGGTTTTGGACTATTAAATTAAAATCCTATCCAAGAAACAAACAAAAAAATCACTTCAAAACTCTATTTTTCTACCTAGCTCTACTTCAATAATCATAAACATAAAGATGTAATAGTGAGAATCAACACAAGGTTTCAGAAGCTTGTCCATTTAGAAAATATCAATTTTCACTAAGGTTGGTCCCTTGAAATAACCATTTAATGCACATTTATAAATGAATTCCCTTTATAAGACTGCATTTGTACTACTGTAAACACTAGTCAGGAAAAATTAAACCCACAAACTTCCTGAGAATTTTGAGCAGTACTGCGTGAAGTCTAGCAAACAAGAGGGAAGTGAATAAACAGCTCTCATTGAGCCATATAAGCTAATCAAACTACAAATTTCATGGGCCTGTTTTGGCCCACAAGGTGCTAATATGCTGGAGGTGCTATGAAACTAGGACGTAAGCTAGGCACAGCAATGCTTGCTTCTAAATCACTCCTGCATAACAGAAATACTAACTGAACATCCAGTGGCATTACAAACTTTCTGGACAGCATCCTCCACTTCGTCTCTCAGGTCGTCTTCAGAGTCTACTCCCTTTGTCTTGATCTTTTCTCTTTTATTTGATTCATCTTGATGAAGCATCTGAAACTAAAGGAAACAAATAATAATCAGGGAACTATGTTGAAATCAAACTGTGTTCAAAATCTTCAACCTAAGACACCCTAATCTCAAAAAATTCAAATATATAGGGGAAAACATCTAGAAACAACCTTAAGAGAACAGCAATGACTAGGCTACATTTTATCCACTCATTGTGCTTCAAGTCACAACAGAGGAATTGAAAAGAAAGGCCCAAAAGACAGAATAACTGCTCAGCAAGAAAGGCATTAGCACTCCCAAGATTTCTAGATGTCAACACTGTCAGTGACTGCTGCCTCTGACAGCACACTGTTGTCTCAGCTGATTTTCAGAGCCGTGAGCTTCACGGAAGAGGATCCTCTATATACTCGTACCTGATGAACTTTTGCACAAAAACGTACTGGTCTTGAAGAAACCTACATACAACTTCCCTCTGGTCCCCAAGCCTTATTTGATCATCAGCACACTTAGAGGTACTGAAGCTCTTGTTTCAGCAGGACAGCTGCAGGTGAGCATGACTCATCTAACCTCCGGTCCATACTACCACACTCAGGGAAACTTGTCAATCCAAATCCTAAAGCCACAAAGAACAGTTCACTTGGGGTCCATGAGACCTTTACAACCTGGGCCTTAAACCAGAAAAGCTAAAATCATCCCTATGTAGCTGCTCAACCACCTTCTTCTTCGGTTTCCCATTGATGCAGGGAGATAGATAAATGGGCAAAAACAGTTCTATTTCTCAAATGTAAGAGTATAGTGGAGGCCAGCAATGTGCAGTATATTCCTTAGAATGTTAATACAAAGCATTCTATTATAAAATTAAACCCTAACAATTTGACAAAGAGTTACAAGAGTCTTTGACCCAGCAGTTTAACAGCTTTGACATCTAGCCAAAGGAAATAATATCAAATACAGAAAAGATTTATGGGCCTGGCACGGTGGCTCATGCCTATAATCCCAGCACTTTGGGAGGCTAATGGGGGTGGATCACTTGACATCAGAAGTTCTAAACCAGCCTGGACAACAAAGTAACACCCCATCTCTACAAAAAAATACATAAAGTGATTCAGGCATGGTGACATGCACCTGTAGTCCCAGCTACTCAGGAGCTGAGGTGGAAGGCTGGCTTGAGCCCAGGAGGTGGAGGTTGCAGTGAGCCAAGATCATACCACTACACTCCAGCCGGGCAACAGAGCTAGACCTTGTCTCAAAAAAAAAAAAAAAAAAGAAAAGAAAAAGAAGGAAAAGGGTTATGTAAAAGTGCTCACAACAGTGTTACTGATAGTGGTGAATAACTGGAAACCACCCAAAGGCTTTATAATATGGATGTGGTGAAATAACCACTGTAAATACACGGAATGATGTCTTCGTTCCCACTAAAGGAAGTAGCACAACAATCACTCCCACCATTATTACTTCACAGTATTTTGGAGGTAACAGCCAAAGCAATTAGCCAAAATAAATTATAAGATTAAAAAAAAAAAGAAAAGTAATCTCTTTGTAGATGATACAATTCTATAACTGAAACAAACAAGAGAACAAAAAAACTACTGCAAACCAAAAACATATACCTGATAAGAATCTAGCATGTAAATATATATATAGCAATCATATACCTGATAAGAATCTAGCATCTAAAATATATATATTGTGTGTGTGTGTGTGTGTGTGTATTTTTTTGAGATTGAGTGTTGCTCTGTAGGCCAGGCTGGAGTGCAGTGGCGCGATCTCAGCTCACTACAACCTCTGCCTCCTGGGCCCTGGTTCAAGCAATTCTCCTACCTCAGCCTCCCAAGTAACTGGGATTACAGGCACAAAAAATTGTGCCTGTACCATGCCCAGCTAATTTTTTTTGTATTTTTTAGTAGAGACGGGGTTTCACCATGTTGGCTAGTCTGGTCTTGAACTCCTGACCTCATGATCCACCTGCCTCGGCCTCCCAAAGTGCTGGGATTACAGGCATGAGACACCGTACCCCACCAAATCTAGAATATATTTTAAAAAGCTTTTACAACTCAAAAACAAAAAGGCAGAACCTAATTCAAAAACAGGCAAAAGGGCCAGCAGCAGTGGCTCATGCCTGTAATCTCACCACTCTGAGAGGCCAAAGTGGGCAGATCATGACGTCAGGAGTTCGAGATCAGCCTAACATGGTGAAACCCCATCTCCACTAAAAATACAAAATTAGCCAGGTGTGGTGGCACACGCCTGTAATCCCAGCTACTTGGGAAACTGAGGC